ATGGATGGATGGATGGATGGATGGATGGATGGATGGATGGATGGATGAATGGCAGCTTGGCTGTGTGTTTCATCAACCCACCACTGTTCTATGGCCGTGACAGACACACCGGGTGAACAAAGACAAAAATGTCTGTGCTTTGATGTATTAACTGTAAATGTAATGTCAGCTCAGACAGATGAAACGCCTGTGTGACATCAATACACTGCAGGATGAACATTCTGCAGCCAAATCAGCACAAAAAACATAAAAATTTAAATGTAACAGTGTAAAATCTGTAAATATGAAAATTTGTGTTCCTTTATGTAACGTCCAACTTTCTGTGATGTTTTTTGAAGTATGCTGAATTACAGACTCCAAAGAGCACTGGTTCTTCTCAGTTGTTTCACGAAGCTTCCATTGTTCCATGAGGAACAGTTTTGTGCATTTTGTTTTTGTCATATGATGGCAAACAAAAGAAGTAAATAAATACTGTTACCCACTGAGCTGCATGTTTTGATGTTTTCTTTTTGCATGTGTTTCTAAAGCTGCAGGGAATCAAAAATTATAACAAAACCAGAAACAAGACAACAAAATGGCAATAAAGATGCTTTATAGCTTATACAGTGGCACACTTAATTCTCAAATTCTCTAAGTTAATACTTTTAAATCAGAGATATGTAACTAAATTACTCTGGGGACCACAGTTAGTAAAAACCAAGAACTCAGAGGACAAACATCTGGCAAATCCTGTCATCACATGAATTTCATTTATGATTAAAAACCCAGTTTTATTTCAAATGAACTCAACTACAAGCGAACAGTTTTATAGCACTGTCATAGATCACATATACAACAGGATCAGCACTCTGATGGAAATATTTGTACTTTTATTCTTTTTAGATATGTTTTTTTCCCTCTTTAAAATCTGATTCTGAATGCATGACTGAGATAACAACATGTGAATTGGTGCAGTTGTAATCAGCCATTGGCAAAGAACACATCAAATGATTTGTTCATGCAATCAGAAGACAATCTTATTTTGCAGAACTGATAAAAACAGTCGAACTGATTTCTGGCATCTCTTTGAGCTGCTGACATTCGGTAGTGCTGTCTGCAGCGTGCAGCTGTACGGAGCAGCAAAGCAGAGAGCTTTTAGTGTTTTCTCTTGTTTCAAATGGGTTAAAGGCATATAATTAAGTTATGAGACACAACAAATCAAACATTGTAAGAAATCAATAAAATAAAGGGGGGTCAGTCTGCAGTCAACAGATCAGTTCGTGTCTAGTTGATGTTAAAAAACAGTCCGAATGAACCCATGACTCTAATATTCCAGCTGAATCTCCAGTGTGTGTGTGCTGGTTAGTATTCATATCTCCCCATAATCTGCTCTGTTAACATTCCCGGCTGTCTCCTCGAGCATTTAACCTTGTCAGAGATAGGCTGGGATCCATTAAGATTTTCTGAAAGGGTTGAGCATTACGGGCTCATTTAGAATGACTTCCATTTTTAATAAACTGCTCACAGCCACGCAGATCAAATGCCAAGGAGGTGCGCTTAACAATGGCAGAGAGATAGATACGCCTCGTGATTTCCATCACACAAAAGCTTAAGAAATCCAACCAGCACACCCCCCTCAATGGGTTTTGCTCCACTCCTTCCTTCTCTTTGTGGGCGCTCCATTCACTGCATGCACTATCAGCTGGAAGTATTCAACATGTTTCAAAGCTGCTCTGTCATCTTTGCAGTGTGAGGCCCTGCTGTGATCCTCTGTCTTTCTAACACAGCAGTAATGTTTACCTTGTTCCGAACAGACTTGGAGGTTTGTGTGACTCTCCTGCAGCTGGAGCAGCGCTGTTCAAGGAATGTGTCCTGTGATTCTGCGTTTGAAGAGGCATGAATCATAATGATGTGCGGCTGCACAGTCGTGGCTAAAAACGGACGCATGTGGAAAGGTAATGATACTGACTGAAAAGGTAGGATTGGACTAAAGCGACTGGGTTAACAGAGAGTGACGAGTGGGGGGGAGGGTCAGAGGGGAGGTTAATGGAACTGGTGGAGTAAAAAATGGGAGGCTGTGTGGAGGCCACATGAGCTGAAAATACCTGTTTAGTTGCTAAATTGGTGAGCAGTTTTCTCTGTTGGAGTCATCTCTCACAAAGGAGGTAAAGGGATGTTTCTGTTATTCCTGTGTTTCTGATACAGAGGTGACATAAACGATTATTAGGCACCAGCTTTGAGTCCCTTCTTGTTTGCTATAGTGATGAGCAGGTTGACAAAAAACATCAGGCAGGACTCGTCATGGTTATAATATTTGCAGACTACACTGTGATCTGTAGTGAGGGTAGGGAGCAGGTGGTAGAGAGAAAGAGAGGTTGACATTTGCTCTGAGTTGTAATGATCACTAGGAACTCAGATAATATGAGCTGAAGTGAGACAAACTCCAAGATGTTGAAAGATTAACAGTGATTTATTTACAGTGTTTTATATGCAATGTACCAGTAAAAGGAGGACTCTGGAACCCTGGGGAGCAATGAGAGAGGTCAGGTAAGGTCTTCGTACTGGTAGATGGATTAATGTTCTTTCTTTCCTTCCATTTGGTAGGTAGGAGCAAGGCAGAGAAGATGGTTCAACGGATATCCTGATGCATGCTCAATAATCCAGGTAGAAAAATCCAAAAAAGTTCAGTCTGGTCCTCTGGACATTCAAAAAAAAAAAAAAAAAAAAAACAAAGCAAAAAAATATAGAAACGTTTCGTCTCTCATCCAAGAGACTTCCTCAGTCTGAGGTGCTGTTTTCAGCTCAGTCTCTTAAATAGCACCTTCTTAGAGTGGATCAACCAGTTTGCTGCTGACAACCAAAACCAGCTGATCACATGCTCAAGAAGAACCATCAGCCTAACAATGGATCATTAGCACACTGATGGCTGTTTACTACTCACAGAGGGCTGAGTGAGACTAGCAATCACAGTATTGTAAGAGGGGGACAGTTGAACCCGGAGGCCTCCACCCCTGTTTAATGATGGACGATTTCTTTTCACAAAGATGGCCTCCTTTACTCCTCTCTCAAACCATCGTTCCTCTCTGTCCAGAATGTGAACATCTTCATCCTTGAAAGAGTGACCGCTGGCCTGGAGATGAGTGTAGACCGCAGAGTCCTGGCCTGATGATATTGATCTTCTGTGCTGGGCCATCCTTTTGGCCAGTGGCTGTTTAGTTTCCCCGATGTAAGACTGATCACAGCCCTCCTGACACTGAACAGCATACACAATATTACTCTGTTTGTGCCGGGGGACTGGATCTTTGGGATGAACCAGTCTTTGCCGTAATGTATTTTGGGGTTTAAAAGCCACTGGGACGTTATGTTTAGAAAATAAACGTCTCAGTTTCTCTGATACTCCCTCAACATATGGAATGACCACTGGTCTGGGTCTGGGTTCCTCCTTTTCACCTGATGGCTGACTGGAGTCCTGTTTGGGTTTCATCTCTGCTTTCAGGAAGGTCCATTTAGGATATCCACATTGCTCTAGAGCCTGTTTTGTGTAGGATTTCTCCTTCTGCCTGGCTCCCGAGTTAGTGGGGATGCTGTCTGCTCTGTGATACAGAGTCTTGTGCTCCAAAGGGTGATGGGAGTCAAACTGCAAATACTGGTCTGTGTGGGTGGGTTTGCGGTACACCTCGGTTTGCAAATGTCCTCTATCAGAGACTGAGACCTCACAGTCCAAGAAAGCCAACTTGCCATTTTTTACATCTTCTCGTGTGAACTTGATGTATTTATCCACAGAGTTGATGTGGTCAGTAAAATGTTGGACTTCCTGAGATTTAATTTTAACCCAGGTGTCGTCAACATACCTGAACCAATGACTTGGTGGTGTCCCTGAAAAGGACGTCAAGGCTCTCTTTTCTACCTCCTCCATGTACAGGTTGGCAACAATAGGAGAAACTGGAGCTGCTGAATGAACGGGTGAGACAGACCAATTTTACTATTGAGGCCTTGAAGGCCAAAGAAGAGCACATTAAACAGAAACTAACTATGTGTCTAGATCAAACCACACTTCAGCAAGTGTTGGACTGTACAGATCAGGCACGCTTAGCACAGCATGTCAAGTCCAAGACTCGACAACAAAACAAGTTTAACTTACTAATAACTCATCAACACCATCAATATTCCAATAACAACACATTCAGTGTAGGACAACACTCCAGTAGTCAATTACATGCCAGGGAGACAGAAAAGTGGGTGAAGAATTTACCTGACAGACAGCTCACCCAGCCGGAGACAGAGATTCTTGCCAGGGGATTGAACTTTGCGGTTGCACCAAGTAGAATTCCTCTGGTGGAGATGATCACAGCCACAGAATCAGCCATCCGCTACAACAAAATGAAAGAGGGTGAAGCAGAACAGCTCAGAATCAAAGTTTCATCCTGCCTCAGCAATGCCAAACCACCACCTTCCAACATCAGTAGAGAGGAGAGGGATGCACTCACCACTCTTAGCAAGGACAAAAACATCATCATTCTCCCAGCAGACAAAGGAAGGTGCACAGTGATTTTGAACCAGAAAGACTATCATAAGAAAGTTATGACACTCCTTAGTGACTTAACCACTTATGAACCTCTGAAAAGAGATCCAGGAAGTGGTTACAAGAAGAAGTTAATAGATTGCCTGAAAAATTTGGAGCAGGACAAGGCTATTGACCGTATTTTGTACCACAGACTGTACCCAGGGGGAGGCCACACCTAGTCTGTATGGTTTACCTAAAATCCACAAACAAGGTGTACCTTTAAGACCTATTGTTAGCATGATTAACTCTGTCACTTACAATGTTTCCAGATATCTGGCATCTGTACTCATCCCTTTAGTTGGCAGCTCAGAACACCACATAAAGAACACCATGGACTTTGTGGATAAGGTGAGGGATGTCATCATGGAG